GACATATTTGAACACCAGGACCTAGAAACATTCACAGGATCAGTACTGGACTACATCAAGTTCTGTACTGCAAATGTGACAGTGGACAAAAGCATTCGGGTTTTCCCAAATCAAAAACCCTGGATGACCAGCGAGGTCCGCTCACTCCTCAAAGCCCGTGATGCCGCCTTCAGGTCAGGTGACAGAGCTCTGTACAGGGCTGCTCGAGCTGACCTGAAAAGGGGGATTAAAAAAGCCAAGTCAGACCACAAAAGGAACATCGAGTCCCACCTGTCCAGCAACAACACACAAGAGGTGTGGCAGGGAATGTAAGACATCATCAACCACAGAGGCAGCACTGCAAAAACAGAAAACCCGAGTGGGCAACTGGCAGAGGAAATAAACAGCTTCTTCGCCCGCTTTGAAACACCACAACAGCAACACTCATCTGCTTCAGCCCTGCTCCCATCCTCATCCTCACCTGGTTCCTGCACCGCTCCACTCACTGTAACAGAGCACGAGGTCAGACGTGTCCTCCTAGCAGTGAACCCCAGGAAGGCGGCCGGTCCAGATGGAGTACCTGGCAAGGTACTAAGAGCATGCGCACACCAGCTCACCCTCATCTTCACCAGACTCTTCAACCTCTCACTGGATCAGGCAGCCATCCCATCCTGTCTAAAATCAGCCACAATCATCCCAGTGCCGAAGAAGTCTCACATCTCCAGCCTGAATGATTACCGCCCTGTGGCCCTCACACCGGTAATCATGAAATGCTTTGAGAGACTAGTCCTTCAGCACATCAAGGATTACCTCTCCCCAGAATTCGACCCCCACCAGTTTGCATACCGTGCAAACAGATCCACAGAAGACGCCATCGCCACAGCCCTCCACGCTGTGCTGAGTCACCTAGAGCAGCGGCAAAGCTACGTCCGAATGCTCTTTGTGGACTACAGCTCAGCCTTTAATACAATAATCCCGGACATCCTCATCACCAAACTGGTCACTCTTGGCCTCCCTCCTCTCACATGTGCCCGGAAAAAGGATTTCCTCACAAACCGGCCCCAGACTGTAAGACTCGGCCGTCATCTCTCTTCCACTCGCACACTGAGCACTGGCTCCCCACAGGGCTGTGTGCTGAGCCCCCTCTTGTATTCTCTCTACACCCACGACTGCAGTTCGACCCACAACAACACTCTCATCATCAAGTTTGCTGATGACACCACGGTAGTCGGACTCATCTCGAAGGGAGACGAGGCAGAGTACAGAGAGGAAGTCCTGAAGCTGGCAGCCTGGTGTTCAGAAAACAACCTGGCACTGAACACTAAGAAAACCAAAGAGCTCATTGTTGACTTCAGGAGACACAGCACCGACTTGGCCCCCCTCTACATCAACGGGGAGTGTGTGGAGAGGGTCCACACTTTCCGGTTCCTTGGTGTCCTCATCTCTGCTGACATCTCCTGGACAGGAAACATCTCAGCGGTCATCAAGAAGGCCCAACAGCGGCTGCACTTCCTGAGAGTCCTCAGGAAGTACAAGCTGAACTCCAACCTGCTGCTGACCTTCTACCGCTCGTCCATTGAGAGCCTGCTAACCTACTGCATCACTGTATGGTACGGCAGCTGCACCAAAGCAGATAGAGTGAGGCTTCAGAGTGTGGTCAAGACAGCACAAAAGATCATCGGCTGCCCTCTCCCCTCCCTGATGGACATTTATTCCTCCCGCTGCCTCACCAGAGCAGCAAACATTATCAAGGACAGCTCCCACCCTGGCTTCAACATGTTCAGCCTGCTTCCCTCAGGGAAGCGCTACAGGTGCATCAACACAAAAAACCCACAGACTCAAAAACAGTTTCTTCCCCAAAGCGATAACCACCCTGAATTGACACATGCACAGATAACACAGCCCCCCCCACTTCCCACTTCCTCTATGGACCACCACTGTGCAATACCAATTCTATGTGCAATAACTCAACTGTATATACATAACACTATTTATTACATATTACTTACGTCTTGTATATTGTACATTATATATATATATATGTTAATACTGTCCATATGTACATAGCGCTGCAGAACTGTACCCCCCCCCAGCATGTTTACACTGAGTAGGAGATGCTCTGTATCTCATTGTACAACTGTATAGTGACAATAAAGGCATTCTATTCTATTCTAGTCTATTCCAAAAACATTCAGCTTTGATATTAATGAGTTTTTTGGGTTCATTGAGAACATGGTTGTTGTTCAATAATAAAATTGTTCCTCAAAAATACAACTTGCCCAATAATTCTGCACTCCCTGTAGAAGGACTGACGGTCTTGTGAGTAAAGACCAATAAAAAAGCCAACTAAAAGAGGAAAACAAAGACCCTCTTGATCTTTTGAGTTTGAGGTAAACCTATTTTGTTGACTCGATTGCAGGAAAAGGACTGCTATAACTGTCATGGTCCTGAGTCGGTGACCCAGTGTTTTTGGTTTTTGTACTTTTACTTTTGATAGTTTTATGTATTATGACTGTTGTGTTTTGGTTTCCCTGGGTTTAGTTGTGTTCCCTCTGTTTGATGTCATCCTTGCCTGTGTATCCCCTTTTGTGTAGTAAGGTCTCTGTTAGGGATGGGTACCGGTATGACATAAACGGTAGTAACCAGATCGAAAAGCAGCAAACATTTCGGTGCTTCATTTCGGTGCTTTTTTTTCCTGAGATGCCATACACTTTGGATTCTAGCCAATCATTTTACCTTTGCGAGTATAGGCGGGCCCAGGTACGTACGTTCTTTTAGAGCAGAGCTACAGATTAAAAATGCCCAAAGCGAAGCGGTCAAAGTCTGGCTGTACTTCACAGCAAAAGATGCAAACTCAGCAGCCTGCAACAAGTGCTTTAAGGTGATACTGTGCAAAGGAGGTAACACCTCGAATCTGATGAAACACCTGGCGACGCATAGCGTTTTTTTAAAAGCCGAGAAATGCACCGTATTTGATAGCTTGCTGCGAGACCTCACACCGAGCACATCTACTGCGGGTGGGTTGCCTGTTATCGGACCCGGAGTTAGCATCATCCCCCAAGAACCCGAAGAGGAGAGTCCTGGCCCCTAGCCCTGCCAGTGTAGCAGAAATGATGACGGATGATGATGGCAGCAGCAGCCGTTCTTCTCTGCGTGAGTAGCTTAATGTTGTTCGTGTGTAATTTACGTTGAGTAGGCTAACCACGTTATTACATTAATGCATGTAAAGTGAACTAGCAAATATCATCATAGCTACATGCGGCTGTCTTCTTGTTTAATGGCAGATACTCCCTTCTCCCTGGCCAAAAAGGCTAAAATGACCAAAGAAAAAGTGGAAAACAGTTAAACATGAGAGGTTTTTGGACAAAGTTGGTGTTTTTTTCCATTGTTTAAGCACTGCTTCCAGCCAAGAGTGATACCATATATGCCCTATAGCTGCAGGGGATAACCCTTTTTACAAAAAACAGCTGAACATGAGAGGTTTTTGGACAAAGTTTGTGTTCTTGATTCTTTAAGCACCGGTTCGAGCACCGTTTAAGTACCGGCACCGTTTCAAAAGTACCGGTTTGGTACTGGTATCAGATAAAGCCTAAACGATAGCCATCCCTAGTCTCTGTGTTCGCCCGCGTCTCTGAGTCTGTGTCCTTGCGTGTGTATGTGTTTCCTGTCTTACTTTGAAGGTCCGTGTCTGATCTCAGTGTGTTCAGTTTACTTTCCCCCTGTCTCATCATGTCTGATTACTCCCAGCTGTGCACTCCTTTTGTGTCTCATTCCCTTGTTATCCTTCTGTGTATTTAAACCTCATGTCTACCTCTGTTAGTTGCTGGTTCGTCTGCGTTATTCCGCTCCATCATTCTGTGTATTTCCCTGTGACTACCTGCATCTCTGTTTCTGGTTAGTTTCTGTTAGTTTTTCCCAGTTTAGGTTTTCTTAGTTTCATGCTCACCCTTGCCATCTCTGTTTGTATCTACATTTGATTAATAAACTCACTTGCACCAGAGCTGCCGCATCTTGGGTCCTTAATAATTCACATATGGCTTGCCCGTGACAGTAAAACAAACTGATTTGTTTATATCTGTGAAGAATGAGATGTAAAATTGAACACTGAAAACTTAAAGTGGAGTTTAGATTTCCTCAGTTGGAAAGGTTCTTGTAAGTCAGGGGTTTGGGTTATTTGACATATTCTTTGAATATATTTTTGTGATTCTTGTTGAAGCTTGTGTTTATTGCTTTTATGCAGCATTTTTGTTTTATTCAGTGTTCAAGGGTTCACTGTATATTCATTTTGCTTACATCCTTTGTCCATAAGTTTAAGGGGCTGGAGGAAACACAGAGGCTAAAAAATACAATCTTAAATGTCTGGAGAAAATCAACCAAAAATACCTACCATGACACAAGCCCCCCTTCTCTTTGTCTTTAGTAGTTTTCCATTACTCTCCTTTTAGTTTATTTTCTAAGAGCCTTTCTCTTGTTTTCATATTTTGTTTTACTTCCAGTCTTTGTATTTTTCTCTTCTTTTTTTATTGATTGTAACATGTTGTAACAGTTGATGCATACAACTAAGCATGCTGGTATGTTTTCCTCCTTTGTGGAGGAAAACCGAGACTGAGATTGTGTGCTAGATAAAATCGAATGTGATTAACAGTTTCGCACATATAAATAGTCGTTCATTTTTGGATAACTTTTTTATGGGTAAGAAATTCTTAGCTTACTTTTTTTTCTCAAATGAAAGAGAATTTGCTTTTCAGGCTTAAAATGTTTTCCTTTTTATTACAGTGGTGGAGTCTATAGTCATTTCAGTCCATTTATTAGATGCCACCATGCGGGCTATAATGATAAAACATTTACTTTCTGAGCAAAGTCGTTGGAAATAGCTCAGACAAACTATCTTAATCTGTAGTTGTGGCTCATAAGAAATTATACTGTACTTGTATGGTATTCATTTTGTTCCTAATTGTTTCTTCTTTCCTTTCTCTGCACATTTTTAAATGTATTTAACCACTATGTGTTTCCCCTCACAGCATGTGTTACAGGCTTCTTCAAGGCTGCTCAGGGAGACCACAAATGTTTACAGTGTCCCATTAACAGCCGGACCACCAGCGAGGGAGCAACTAACTGTGTCTGTCGCAATGGCTACTATCGCACTGAATCTGACCCTCCACAGATGCCTTGTACCAGTATGTATACCAGGGGCGGAGCGTGGGGGTGGCTTACTGGGCTTAAGCCCGGGTCTTTTTGTCAGAAGCCCGGGGTCTTTTGGAGTATAATTTGTATAAAACAAAAAGTGCAAGCAATATTCGAAGCGCATAGTGCACACTGTGGGAATTTACGACTGTGCGTGAATCCCCCCTGATATTGGTATGATCCGAGCTCAGGCACTAAGACTGAGCGAGAGGGCGGGGCAGCTGCTACCTGTGAGTGTGCTGTTGGAGAAACGGAGCCAGCCATACTAAGGAGACCTTAAGTTTGACCAGGTACCAAAGCAAATCATTCGTACCGTACAAATAATGTAAATATGACGGTGTATCACGAAAGATTGATATCAAACTGATCACTTGACCAATATTACGTTACTTGCTGTTCAAGTGAATCAACAAATGGTGAAATGAAAAGCCGAACAAATGCTATTTTTTTTAGAGAGTCTTAGCTTACGTGTGTTTATTTCATATTTTCAGTTCTTACCCTCCCCGACTAAATCGGTTTCAGTTATGTACTGAAATATAAGAATGGACATTAGAGGCTTCTTTCAAAGAAAAAACTCAGGTAAATGTTATTTTATATATTGTGCTTTGTATGTTGTTCAGTATATTTCTATGCAAACCAAGAGGGATTTCAGTACACAGCAGGATATTCACATTTGTAACCAGATATTTACATACACTTTAAGGAGAAAACATTTTTACTGTACAACATCAATTTAAAGTAAACTTTTGTTTTAGATAAATATTGAAACATCTTTTGAATTAGTTAAATGTCAGAATAAAGAGAGACAGAGCTGTCTATTTTTTATCACTTTGATCAAAATTAGGAGTACATGTACACTAAGTTTATTGTTAATTAATAAGAAAACTCCAGACGATTCCATTCTGAACTGAAGAAGCTTCTGATAGGTTAGTAGAGCCCATGTGAGTAAATTGGTGGCACACCTGTGGATGCATATAAGGCAAAACACAGAGCCTGTTTCTGTGACATGGGAACATCAAGATGTCAACCAAAACACCAGGAAGAGAATCGTGGAGCTCCATAAGTGTGGCTCAGTTTGAATACAATTTGGTGCCATTTGCAATTAAGAAATACAGATAGTTTCTCTCTTTACTCTTGTTTACCAAAAGTATCACCGTATCATAGGTGCTCATGTATCTTGTACCCAGTGTTGGGAAGGTTACTTTTAAAAAGTATTCCATTACAGAATATAGAATACATGCCCTAAAATGTATTCTGTAACGTATTCCGTTACGTTACTCAATGAGAGTAACGTATTCTGAATACTTTGGATTACTTAACATATTATCATGCATTTCACAACTACGTGAATGTACTATTGCTGTGTGATTTATTACTGTTACTGAAGGTCCGCGGCTCCGAACCGTAGTAAAGGGACCTCTGAATAATACGGGTTCGTGTCGGGCTCCTAGGCGAAAAATAGCTTTACTTTGTTGTGTGGGTCAACTCTGCTTGCGAGAGACAGAGAGAGGCGTTGACAGGCTGCTCCAACGGAACTTATTGTTTCGGAAAACACAAACAAAGCGTACAGAGTTTTAATAGCGTACTTACAACTAGGCTCGTCAGGCACTCTTCTTGGCTGCAGTGGTTATTATTATATTTACATGCTTCCAGTTCCCGTTTTCTCCCACCTCGCACTCACAGACACATAACGAGTATGGCAGTCCATTCTCCCTGCAGCACAGGCTACACTGCCCATGATGCTACATTCTGCATTATGCTTATTAGCTTAGCACAACAACAACAACAACAAAAAGGCGCTCTCTCACCCAGGAAACACGCAGAGCGAGAGCGTCACCCTGTAACCATGGCAACCGCAACGCTGCCGCCTGGAACTACTGTCAAACAAAACCGAAATGGTCCTGACCGCCACAATATGAAACAGGAAAGTACCGCCGTGTAATCCATTTATTTCAACAAAGTAACTGTATTCTAAATACCACCTTTTTAAACGGTACCTGTAACGGAATACAGTTACTCATATTTTGTATTTTAAATACGTAACGGCGGTACATGTATTCCGTTACTCCCCAACACTGCTTGTACCTTGTGTTTCTTTTTTGGTTTGCTATTTTTCAAATTCTACATTTATGCAGGCTTGTTTGCTAAATAATTATATACACTTTTCTCAATCTAAATAGTGGACTTTGGTAGAATTAAAAAAACAAGTGTAGTGCAGGTATATGATGATTTTTAGTGCTACTATCATCTAGTTCTGATTCTGGTTCTGTCTTGGTTAATTCCTCAGTAGTCCTGATTTTGAACTGTTGTAGTCCTGTTTTAATTCAGGATCAGTTCTGGGTCTGGTTGAATTGGGGTTTAGTCCTCGTGTCTTGATACAGCCCCGACTTTGATATCAGTTTTGGCCAGGGTGTACCCGGCCTCGAGCCCTGTGACAACTGAGACTGACTCCAGCTGGGATGAGAGGAAACAGAAGAGGAAAAATGAAATGAAGCTGTTCCATGTGAACAAAGTTGCGAAAAAATGATTATTCATAACCTACACTAGATTATTTGACAAATTAAAGCTGCTCTATGTATACATTGAGTTGTGTGTAATTACATCTTCTCATTAATTTAGAAGTAATTAATTATTAAAAAAGAGGAAGGGATGCCTGATTTTAGAAGCTGACATGTTGCCCTGCTATCTTGAATATAGTGGTTGAGATGGAAATAGTCCATATGTATGTAGCTAGAGATCGGCCACATACGTTGTTTTTAATATGAAGATCACAAATAACTCTCTGAAACTATATATGACCATTTGATATTTGTGTGTGTGGGCAGCCATCTACTATGAACAGTTAGGGATGAGGGTACGAAGACAAAATGAAAAAAAAAATCAAATAATTTCTTATTTCAGATCTTTGGCCAAATATTCTTCAATCATGTTAATATATAGTGTGTACAGAAATGTTTTTATACACAAAGAGTAGTAGAGACATGCCAACTGGCTGTGACTATTATGGGGAAATGCAAAGCAGCTGGCCACTAAATGTGATCATAAATGTGTTTTTCCTGCACCAGCCACAATAGCTAGGATTTTGCACTTGAATTGGGAGGAGTAAGAAAACTGAATTCAATTGACTACAATCTGCAATCTACTCACATCCAGTGGTGAGATTTTACACACTATACCTTTAAAATATGTCATTAGAATTAGGAATGTAATGTACAAGTAGTAGATTAATAGAAATTAATTAATTACATATTTGTAATGGATAGTAAGTCAAGAAGTGCATAGGAGGATTCCCATTAGCTACAACCGTGCAGCAGCTATCTTCCAGCAAACATTACCACAGAAAATGTAGACCTCATGTGAGATAGCTCATGTCAGGCCTAGAGCAATTTTGCCTTTTGAGTCTCTTTGTGGGCTTTTTGTGGGCAAGCCACAGTGTTCTTTCCCACTGAAAACCTTCATTGGGAACCTAATTTTATTTTTGAACAACACTACTCCACACCAATTATGTAATGTACCATGGGACAGATGTGGGCCCCACACTGTGGAGCCTAGGCTGGCCCAGGTCCCAGTACCAGCATGAAGTATGGCCCATATCACACTGGTGATATTTGGGCTGGGGGTTTGAAAGTTGTTATTGTGTTGGAGGATAGGAGAACTGTTTGAATGGTCCTCTGACATGTGACAAAAAGCATGATAGTCTAGGGTCTCTTATCTGTCTGCAAACCATTTTTATTTTGTTTGTTTTTTCTTTTCTTTTGTTTTGACCTTAAAAATACTGTAGCGAGATGCAGAGTATTCTTTTTTTTAATCCAAAGGTATAGACACCTTTTTGTGTGAATGTGTGCGTGAATGGGTGGATGACTGGATATGTAAAGCGCTTTGGGGTCCTAAGGGACTAGTAAAGGCGCTATATAAATACAGGCCATTTTTGGAGGGTCCCAAGCCAAGGTTTGCAGTGGGCAGTATCTGGAATTTTTAATTTTTCCATTAGAATGATGTTATTATTATTGCGTCCAAAGTGGTGAAAAAAGTTGCTGTGGGTTGAATAGGGATCATTGTGAATACGTAATTGATCTTTATGGTGTTAGTACATCCTAAAATTAAAAGTGGTTTTGTCATCCATCGGTTTAAGTCATCTTTTATTGTTTTCAATAGAGGAGTGAAACAGTGGAACAGCTCTGACAGTTTGGGGGAGAATTGTATGTCTAGGTATGTGATCATGCCAGTAGTAGGTGGTAGGTGAGGGATCTGTCATGTATAAGAGTGGGTATCTCCATTTATTATTAAAGTGGTAGATTTATTCCAATTTATTGTATAATCAGAGATTTGGGAGTATGTATTAGTGATTTGGATTAGTTCTTTAACTGATTTATTGGGATTTTGTAGGAACCGGAGTACATCATCTGCATATAAACTTTTTTATATTTATGTGTTTATTGGTGTATTATTGGTGTGAATGCCTATGATGTTAACGTTCTGACGGATTGCTGCTGCTAATGGTTCAAAGAAAAGTGCAAATAATGAGGGTGAGAGTGGGCACCCTTGTCTTGTACCTCTGTGAAGTGTAAAATTTGTTGAGATTAAGTTGTTTGTTATAAGTGCTTTCTTCATAACAGCCATCCCTCAAGATTTTCTCCATTTAAAGCAATGCGTTATCAGGGATTGTAACATCTAGTCCTTTTACTGAATCGGAATTATGGCTACTTTGGTGGGATAGATGTAATAGGTCGAAATGTGTATTATTTGAAGAATGTCTGCCTTTAATGAATCCTGAATAGGGTGTTTGTTTGTCTTGAGAAGTATTGAAAATAGTTCTGTATTCACATGGTATGGAATGAACTTGTTATTTTTTATTTCATCTACCATTTATTAATTATAATTATATAATATTACAATAATTATAATAACAAATAGACTTATAAAATCAAACAAATATCAGGCCCATTTATCCATACTGGAGAAATAAATACTATACCGGTTATATTAAGGGTGA